ATCCCACTACTGAACATATACCCAAAAGACTTGAACAATTTATCAAACAGATACTTGTGCCAGCACCGTTCACAATAGCAAAATCTGGAACCAACCAAGGTGTCTATCATCAGATGAATGGATAAAGAAACTGTAGTATATATACACAATGGAATATTATTCAGCTATAAAAAAGAAATTCTACCATTTGCAGCCTAATGGATGCAACTGGAGGACATGATATTGAGTGGAATAGGCCAGACCCAGAAAGACAAATACCGTATGTTCTCTCTTACAGGTGGGAGCTAAAATTTAAAAAACAAAAAAGAGAAAGAAATGTGTGTGTATCAGTTTTGCTGCAAAGATAGTTTTATACCTTTGTCAAACCAATGGTTAAGAATGTTACACTATTATAGTTTTAATGATCTGTGACTAAAGTTGACTGTGTATGGGTGAAATGGTCATTTTTCCATTCAATTATTATTTATAGCCAATGTCTATGTTCCTACTAAACTAGGGTCTTTTGCTTTTTACTTGTTAAATACTTCTTATTTGGTGAAGTATGAAGCCTTTTTACTGCAGTGTAAATTTAAAATATGTTATCTCACGTGGCCAGAGCTGCAGTGTAGCAGGTAAAGCTGCCGTCTGCAATGCTGGCATCCCATATGGACGCTGGTTCGAGTCCAGGCTGCTCCACTTCCAATCCAGCTCTCTACTGTGGCCTGGGAAAGCAGTAGAAGATGGCCCAAGTCCTTGGGCCCCTACTCCTGTGTGGGAGACCTGGAGGAAGCTCCTGGCTTCGGATCGGCGCAGCTCCAGCCATTGTGGTCAATTGGGGAGTGAACCATCGGAAGGAAGACCTCTCTTTCTGACTCTCCTCTCTCTGTGTAACTCTGACTTTCAAATAAATAAATCTTTAAAAAAAATGTTGTCTCAAAAAACTAAAGAAAAAGAGAAAGGAGGAGGATAGAGGAAGGGAGAGAGGGAGGGAGAAACAGATTATGTTCTTAGAACTGTATCTATGCGGCCGGCACTGTGCCACAGTGGGTTAACGCCCTGGTCTAAAGTGCCGGCATCCCATATGGGTGCCGGTTCAAGACCCAGCTGCTCCACTTCCTATCCAGCTCTCTGCTATGGCCTGGGAAAGCAGTAGAAGATGGCCCAAGTCCTTGGGTCCTTGCACCTGTGTGGAAGACCTGGAAGAAGCTCCTGGCTTCAGATGTGAACCATCGGATGGAAGACCTCTTTCTCTCTCTCTGCCTCTCCTCTGTATAACTCCGACTTGCAAATAAGTAAATAAATCTTTAAAAAAAAAAACCTGTATCTACAAGTCACATTGAATCTGTTATGAACTAATTAAAAATAAAATAAAACAATCATTTATTTCAAGAACATGGTGTTCCTTTTGCTTTAACTTCTAATTTAAAATTCAACACAGAAGTTAAGTTCTCAGTAAAATTCTTGTAGCTGTCCTGATTTATGCCTCAGACTTGTCTGCTGAGGCTCACAGATGTGGTGGTTACACAGATGGACTCTTCCAGCTCCAAGCCTCACTGAGTCGTGATCTACTCGGAGGCTTTGTCTGCAGTTTCCCTCCCGTGAATGACGTAGGCACCCTAGCGCATAGATTTCTGGAGGGTGTGTTGCGACAAGCAGAGCCTCTGCGGGGCCTGGTGGAGAGTCAGCACTTGGCATGCGTGACCGCAGTTATTGTTACTGTGAATGCAACTCTCCTGCCTCCTTCTGTCTCCTGACTGCTCACTATCATTCACAGAAAATACTGATCGCTCAAGCACATCATATAGGCAAGTAAAATTTGATTTATGTAAAAAATTCGTTGTAGAATTTTATTAGAAAGACAATCAAAATATGACTTTCCCTATATTTATTCCCCCACCCTATGCCACCTGAAATTATCTTGCTTTTGTAAAAATAAAGAGCTGACATCTGTTTCAATTCAGTATTTCCTGTTGGAAAACTATTACATTATTTGCACTTATCCCATTATTTCCTTTGCATAAAATTCTAGAACTGAAATGCCTGGGTTACACATTATACATTTTCCTATGAGCAATTTTATTTTCTTTTCTCTGGTTCTAATTAATATTCAAGGCAGGTTGGGGGGAAGGAAATGTACTAAGAAAGAAGGCAAAAATATAGCTTGCCCCACTGGCAGTCAAAATTTTTAAATTTCATTTCTATTGAATGCTGTTTAATTAGCAATCAAATACTAGTAATCTCAAGTATTTTAAATGGTACAATAGACAATAGATATCAATCCTAAGTTCAAGCTATTACTGTTATGCTGAAGACTAGTTACTAAATCAGTACTGGGTAAAGAGGTCCGCTTCCGCATGTGACCTCCACGTGACTTTGCAACCTGTGGTTGAAAACAAAGCCTCACTCCGGCACTGAGGCAGAGAAAAGCTAAACCTCAGGACCCCATCCTGACCTGCACATCCTGGGGGAAGCTCTTTGTTCAACATGAACTTTGCTTTATTCCTGTCTGTTCTGGGCTGCACGAGGAAGGAAAAGTGGGCTTCCTCATTATGGTGCAGATTCACACTTCACAACCAGATGGTCAAAAATACCCTGAAATACCACCAGGTCCTGAGGCTTCCATCACAGAAATCGGTTCCTGGATCCCTCTGGACCGTCTCCAGACACGATGGCTGCAGACTGACCAGAGAACCCCACAGGGACCCCTTGCTACAGTGACAGCAGGCGATCCACACACTGCCACGGGTAACGCAGCCGGGACAGAGCACCCCGTCTCCCATCGGATCGCCCTCACAAGCACCGCATGAATGAGTGAGAAGCACTCATTCCTTCTCTGTGGTTTCTTCCTTCCTGTAAAGCCGACACGCAGAGACCCAACCCCCAGGCCCTCTCCAAATGCAAAGGGTTCTCACCCCAAGGGCCACGTAGATTCTCCCTACCACATCTTTAGAAGGAAAAAACTCCCTGTTCAACAGAGCAGCTGGGCTGCAGTCTGGTGGAAGAGGGACGGGGACGAGACTCCAGGCTGTCACAGAGCTACCAGCACCACCTGTCGCTCCCCGTCTTCGTGGAGGAACGACACAGGACCCTGCGCTGTTCTTTTGTCTGCTTGGCCCTCCCCGGGTTTGCTGCTGGTTCTTCCCGGGTTGGCTGCCGTCCCTTCCACCTCCGTGGAAGGGCGGTTCCCCCTGGCCACTTTCCCCACTTCCGCAGGGGAGCGGCACACCGCCGGCTGGCTCTCTCGGGGGCTGCACAGGTGTTCCTTCAGATAGATGTTCCCCTTAGATGTTCCTGGTGCATGTTGTCTCTCTCCTCCTTTATAGTCCTCTTCCGCCAATCCCAACTCTGCTGCCCACACGCCAAGTACGCTGCTCTCCTCCAATCAGCAGCAGGTCCTACAGTTTATTGGTGGAACTGGAGGCAGCTGTGTAGAAGCTGTTTCTCCCTTCTCAGTGCCATATTGTGGGAGAGCAGATGCATAGAATAAGTCTTAATTCCAGTAACTTAGTCTAGTCCGAGTTGCTCCCAGTTGCTCCCCACAACCACCGACTCCCAGCTACACTGTTCGGGACAACGCCTCGTTGTTGATCATCTCTGCCTGTGTTCAATGTGTGAGTGTTAGGGGAACCCCATCTGCTAGGAAGTACCCAATTCAACAGCTAGATAACCCGGCTTTCTTCTCCCTACTGCTTATCCTGTGCTGGCTACACAGGAATGTCTGCCTCTGGTCCAGCCTCCGTGCTCCTCAGCAGACTTTTACTGGACTGCTTCTGTCCCGTGTGAGTCTAAGGAAGTTGCTGTTCAGTGGAGGATGTAGAAATTACACCACGGTGTCTCAATCTCAGTATGCTGTTCAAGTCTTTCTTGTCAACACTCTTAGAGTCCACGAAGTGGGGAAGAAGTGGCTCAAGGAAAATAGAACTCGATCCTCAGTAAATTTAGAGAGGAACTGAAGAACTTCCCTGCAATTCTCATTGGCAATGTGCTTTTAGATAGCTTAGTCTCTAAACTTGAGTAAGAAGTCTTTTCGTGAGTCAACACTGACATAAAGTTGCAACTTTGCCCTCAGTAAGTGTGTGTTTTAGAGCACTGCTTCTCAATACGTTTTCTACCACAGAGATCATGCCTTTTGAAAGTTATGGCTACCATAAAGTTGGTCTACTGAGCTGCAGTTTTCTTTGTGAAGTTAAACTAGGCCTCAAGCTCACATTTTTAGCACTTACTTTATACCAGCTACTATGCGAAGCAAGCCTTCCTTCTCACTGAATTCTCTATCTGCCCTGTAAGTTAAATACCATTATTTTCCCATCTTCATCAACGAGGAGGTTGACAATTTAAAAGACAATGATTGCCAAGGTCACACTTGGAAATGGAGGAGCTTGCCTTTGAATCACTGATCCCTGGTGGGAAAAGTTCTCCCCCAGAACTGGCAGTACTCAATGCTACCAAAGATTGCGAGATCAAATGGTATGCAAAGGGTCTGAACAAAATTCTGCGTTCTCCAGTTCAATGTCATGACTCTGTGCATAACAAGGGAACTACAGCAAAACGAAGGCCACTACCAAGAGGCTGATGAGAACGAGTGTGCCTCTCCAAGGCATACATTATTGTCCACAGCTACAAACAGGCATCTCAACACCTGCACAGCAGCGTTTTTCTAAGGACTCTAGATGTGAGACAGAGATCTGCAGAGGAGACTAAGCTTCCTGCAGCGTTACAGTGCAGTTCCTTAACATGAAATGTCAACTAAGGAGCCGTTCTGGCTCAGTTTGCCTTATAGAACTAAAAACATACTTTGAGGAATCAGCCCTAGGGAAATTTACCTCATTTACTGTAATCTCATGGACAGTTTAAAACAGAATGAATCTGATGTCCACTACAGGTTGAAACTTAGCATAAACTTACTGTTCTAATAACGCCACTGCAAGCAATATGATAAAAGGTACCAACCATGCTCACACACCCCATGTTTGTTATTCATGGTAAGATTCTGAGAGAATAACACAGATGAAGAGACTTACCTTTTTTTTAAATTTTGCTTCATCGCATGTCTGAAGTCTTAAAATGGATTCATTCATCATTTTCTCCTTGTACATGTTTATATTTTCTTTTTCAATTACATCGGCATTGCTAGTCAAAAGCAGGCATTTGCTCCCTTTTGCTCTTCCTCTGCCTATTAGGAAATAAATTTCTTATTTGGTGTTTTTGCTTTAAAACTCTGGTATAATCTGAAGATAAGTAAACCAAGGGATAGAGGTATTTCTAAAATTTAACTTTACTTCACTGAATCCAACTTTGTAGGAAGGAAGCTGAGCTGTTCAACAGTGGCATGAGCCCAACATATAAAACATGAGGGAAAACGAGAGTCCACAGTAGGCTGCTCAGGGCCTGCAGTGACATGGTGTGACTGGACAGTCATATTGCCAAAAACTCCCATTAAAGAAAAGCAACACAAAATCTCAGCATTACATTGTGGGGGCTCTAAGATAAATAAGTATATCCTCCCTCAAGAGCCTTTTAGGCAATGTAGAAATAAGATATATCCACAAGCACCAGAAAATACATGGAAAACTGTTAAGTTCTATTGCAAGGATAACTATAAAGGGCTATGGGACATTCAAAGAGAGACTGCTGCCAGCCAGAGGAATTAGGGTCAGGTGCTATGACGTCAGGAGAGGAAGGAAAGTGAAGCATAGTAGCACTCAAGCAACTCCTTTAACACTCAGTGAATGATGAGGTGAACTGGCTGAAACGGATACTGTACCAAGGGGAAGAATAGGAGATAAGACTGGAAAGCAGGTGAAATTTGCAAAATTCAACACTGGGCCAGCATTGTGGTGCAGCGGGTTAAGCTGCCACTGTGACTCCAGAATTCCATATGGGCACCAGTTGGAGCCCGACTGCTTCATTCCCACCCTTCTCCCTGCTAATGTGCCCGGAAAGCAGCGCCAGGCGGTCCAAGTGCTGGGGCCCCTTCCACCCATGTGAGAGACCTGAATGCAGGTCCAGATTTCTGGCTTTGACTTGGCATCATCCCAGCCATTGCATCCATTTGGGGAGTGAAACAGCAGCTGGGAGAGTCTAAGTCTGCCTTTCAAATAAGTAAGTCTTAAAAGAAAATTCAACATCAAGTGAATTGAGAAGCCACTGGAGTTTCTATACAAGGAAATGAGATGCTCAGAACTGATTTTTGGGGAAAGTCATGTGGCAGCTGTTCTTATGGAAATTAGAAAAAAGAAAGGAAAAAAGGAGGAGAAACTTGTTAAGAGACATCTAATCCAGGTGGAACAGAAGAACTCCGAAATACGTCTTCTGGAATACAAGGAGCCCACCAGCACCACAAGCACAACCGGGGACGATCTACACGGTGACCTGCAAAGCCTCAGCCCACACTGGAACTGTCCTTTCGTAAGTATCTCAGTCCACATTGGGCAAATAAGCAGTATCACTGAGAACAAGAACGACTGTCAACACCACCCATTCTGTCCAGGTCGGTCACATGTAGGGCCAAGATTCCAGAGTCCACTGTGCCACTGATCACCTACACAGCCACAGCTCAGTAAAGGAGAAAAGCCAAAAGACCAACACAGTTGCAAATCAGAGGAGAAGTCTACAGATGGAGGAATGGCATCGAAGCTGCTCTCACCTCTGGTCTGGATCATTTTGATGACATTGCCCACGTACTCATACAGGATGACCAGATTGCACTGAGCAATGTCAATGCCTTCATCAGCAACTGAGGTGGCAATCAAAATATTGTGGTCTCCATTGCTTCTGAATGCATCCAGTACACATTTCTGTGCTGGAAGGGTCATTCCTGTATCAGAGGAAGAGGGAGTTAAACAACTCACCAAAGATGGAACTTTCCCCTGGTACAAAAGTAGCTTGCAATTACATAATGCTTGTTACATGTCAAATACTGTGATTAGTGCTTTATCTTCACAATGTCACAACAACCCTGGGCTACAGGGTCTATTCCTATGCCTACTTTAGAAAAGGCATGTAGGGTGACCTCTAACAGCTTAGATTCTGCCACCAGAGTGCCCAAGTTGAAATCTTGTCCTTACTAGTTGTGTGACTTTAGCAAGGTTATCCCAAAAAAAGTATTGACCCTTTATGTTGAATCTCCCACTGGTATTGCTTTTCTGGTTGAACTCTGACTGATACAAGCCCTAAAAAGATATTATGGTATTTTAATATTATATACATCCATATATGCATGACATTTTAAATTTAATTCTCTCTATATAAATACCTGTAGTCTGACTAGTTTTGCCACGTCCAGTCAATATGCCAGGCTTTAGAAAGCTGAGTTTAGAATTTTCCTCAATCCACTTCTTTATAGCCTAAAAAGAAAAAGCAATTATCACTTGGACTCCATTTGTCAACCCTCTATTAATTATTGGAACATATGCAAAAAGAAAAACTGTTCAGTTTTCAGACTGAAAAACATGAGGGAAAAAAGTTCTTGGAATTAAACTCCATGCAATAATTCACTGTAATGGAATAGATCTTTGTGACCTAATATGATTTAATCTCCAAGTTGCGTGTGTGGGTTTTTTTTTTTTTTTTTTTTTTTTTTTTTTTTTTTTTTGACAGGCAGAGTGGACAGTGAGGGAGAGAGACAGAGAGAAAGGTCTTCCTTTTGCCATTGGGTCACCCTCCAATGGCCGCTACGGCCAGCGCACCACACTGATCCGAAGGCAGGAGCCAGGTGCTTATCCTGGTCTCCCATGGGGTGCAGGGCCCAAGCACCTGGGCCATCCTCCACTGCACTCCCAGGCCACAGCAGAGAGCTGGCCTGGAAGAGGGGCAGCCGAGACAGAATCCAGCGCCCCAACCAGGACTAGAACCCGGTGTGCTGGCGCTGCAAGGCGGAGGATTAGACTAGTGAGCCGCGGCGCCGGCCCTCCAAGTTGTGTTTTTTAAGTTAAAAAAAAATACAAAGTCAAGGACATTGATTGTGTAGAAATATGAGTTCAGTAAGATTATAGGACACAAGATCAATATACATAAATTATATTTCTATACACTAGCAGTGAGCAATTGGAATTTGAAATTTTTAGTACCTTTTTTAAAGATTTATTTATTTTAAAGGCAGAGACACAGAGGCAGAGAGAGAGAGAGAGAGAGAGAGGTCTTCCATCCACTGGTTTACTCCCCAGATGTCCTCAACGCCTAGAGCTGCACCAGTCGGAAGCCAGGAGCTTCTTCCAGGTCTCCCACATGGGTGCAGGGGCCCAAGGACTTGGGCCATCTTCTTCTGCTTTCCCAGGCCATAGCATAGAGCTGGATTGGAAATGGAACAGCCAGGACCCGAACCAGTGCCCATATGGGATGCCAGCACTGCAGGCTGCAGCTTTACCCACTATGCCACAGGACCAGCCCCTAGTACCATTTTTACCACCACCAAAATATTAATACTTAGGGGCTAGCATTGTAATGCAGCAAGTTTAGCCACTGCCTTTGATGGCAACATCCAATATCAGAGCACTGGTTTGAGTCCCAGCTCTGCTTCCAATCCAGCTCACAGCTGCTGCAAGTGCTTGGGCCCCACTACTCATTTAGGAGACCGGGATAGAGCTCCTGGCCCAGCTCCAGCCATTGCAGCCATCAGGCCAGTGAACCAACAGATAGAAAATCTCTCTCTCTCTCTCTCTCTCTCTCTCTCCTCTTCCATCTCTAACTACCTTTCAGGTAGATAAATCTTTAAAAAAAATTAATTAATTAATTAACATTGGGGCTGGCACTGTGGCATAGTGAGTAAAGCTGCTGCCTCCATTGCCGGTATCCCATATGGGCGCTGGTTCGAGTCCCAGCTGCTCCACTTCCAATCCAACTCTTTGTTATGGTCTGGGAAAGCAGTAGAAGATGGCCCAGGTGTCTGGGCCCCTGCACCCACATGGGAGATCCAGAGGAAGCTCCTGGCTTTGGATCAGCGCAGCTCCGGCCGTTGCGACCTTTTGGTAGTGAACCAGCGGATAGAAGACTCTCTCTCTCTCTCTCTCTCTCTGCCTCTCTGCCTCTCTGTAACTCTGCTTTTCAAATAAAGAAATCTTTAAAAAAAAGTTTATGGAAATTGAATTTAAAAGTAAATGTATTAACGGCCGGTGCCGCGGCTCACTAGGCTAATCCTCCGCCTAGCGGCGCCGGCACACCGGGTTCTAGTCCCGGTTGGGGCGCCGGATTCTGTCCCGGTTGCCCCTTTTCCAGGCCAGCCCTCTGCTGTGGCCAGGGAGTGCAGTGGAGGATGGCCCAGGTGCTTGGGCCCTGCACCCCATGGGAGACCAGGAAAAGCACCTGGCTCCTGGCTCCTGCCATCGGATCAGCGCGGTGCGCCGGCCGCAGCGCGCAGGCCGCGGCGGCCGTTGGAGGGTGAACCAACGGAAAAAGGAAGACCTTTCTCTCTGTCTCTCTCTCTCACTGTCCACTCTGCCTGTCAAATAATAATAATAATAATAAAAAAAAAATCCCATCCATTTAATTGAAGGCCTACCCACCCCTGATGTCTTTGAGTAGGTACTAAAAAAAAAAAAAAAAAAAAAGTAAATGTATTAAAAAAAAATCTAGATAAAATGTGTGCAGAATCCCTGTGCCAAAAATGAGCAAAAAACTGATAAAAAGAAACCAAAGATGTGACAGGTAGCCTCTAAGGAAGCCCTCAATGATCTCCATCTCCTGATTCAGATCCCTGTGTAATCCCCTCCCTTTGAGTGTGAACTCAACTTACTAACTAGCTTCTAATGAATAAAATACAATAGACATGATGTGATGTTTTTTTCAAGATGAACTTATAACTGTGGCTTTCAAATTCAACACTTTCTCCCTCAATCTCTCTTGGAGCATTGACTCTAGGGAAAGCCAGCTGCCTTATTACAGGCAGCTCTGTGGAGAAGCTCACTTGAGTGAACTTGGGAGCATATCTTCTGAGGCCTGCCGATAGCCCCATGAAGTGAGCTAGAAAGCTGATCTTCCCAAGGCAAGCCTTGAGGTGACTACAGCCATGGGCAACAATTTGATTACAGCCTCAGCAGAGGCCCTGAGTCAGAAACACACAATTGTTTCCAAATTCGTGACCCTTGGATGTTGTAATAAAGGTCTGTTGTTCCCAGACTCTAAATTGTGGGGTAAAGTGTTACTCAGCAGAACATAAATAACACAGAACCCCTACATCAATGAAGACTATACTCCAGTCATGGACTGGAACACTCAGTATTGATGTCATTTCCCCCTAGTTTTGGCTACAGATTAAATACAGTGCTAAACAAAATCCCAGCAAACTTTTTCATATACGTAGATGAGTGGATTCTAAAATGTGTATGGAAAAGTAATGAAATGTAACTAAAATAAAAAGCTGGAAGAGTCATGCTACTCTATTTCAAGACTCACTATAAAGCTATGGTTATCAATACAGAGTGGGAAGGGCAAAAGGATAAATGTATAGATAAATGGAAGAGTCCGGAAACAGATCCATGCAAATACACTCGTGTGATTTTTCTAATGTTACAAAAGCAATGCAATGAAGCAGATAGTCCTCTCAACACACAGTGCTGGCAAATTATATGTCTAAATGCACAAAGGAAAAAATGCATCTCAACACATACCTCACTCTTGATACAAAAATTCATTCAAAGTAGATTATAGACCTAAATGTAAAATGTAAAACTATAAAGCTTCTATCAGGATCCCAGGTAAACAGTGTTCTTAACTATGCTACCACAGTCAAAATCAAGAAAAACTGATACATTGGACTCTGTCAAAATTTAAAACTTTCAATCTGTTAAGATAATGAAAAGACAGCCCATGGGCCAAAAGATAATTGTAAATCACACTTCTGGCAGAGATTTCTCTTTCAGAATATAAGCAGAACTCTCAAAAATTCACCCACCAAATGATAACCCACTCACTTATCAATGGGTAATAAAGATCCAGACCCCTCACCAACGAAGACACCGATGAGCTAGTAAGAATGTGAAAGGAGCGCAGTCGCATCAGTCATTAATGAGATGCAAAGTAAAAGGCTGGTGACGTACATCACACACCCACGGAACGGTTAGAAATAAAAACCTTGAGAAACAGCACAAAGGAGGATGATGTGCTTGCTCTACAGGTGCGTAAACTAGGGTGACTAAGACGATGAAGTCTAGTGCAAGGACAAACAAATATAATCAGAACACAGTGAGGACCCAGAAACCAACCCACACATGCAGAGCAGTGAGAAAAACGCAATCTTTCCAACAAGCAGTACTGGGTCGATTTGTTCTCCAGAGGAAAACAAGACTTACGTCCACAAGGGCTCTGGTTTTCACGAACAGAATGGTTTTGGTCTCCGGATTGACGTGGTACTCCTCTTGTAAAATGAGGTACAGGTCTTTGAGTTTAGGATTCTCATTGCTGGGATCCATGGAAATTGTTTCTAGTTCCTGCACCTTTCCTGTAAATGGGGAACATTTTACAAATACTTGTGATTTCTAAAAATCTAGAATATGCTGTGACCTTTATAGTTCAATCAATCTCTCAATCTTTGACTATAATTTTCTAAGTTATAACTACCAACAGATACAACTTTCAGGAGAGTAAATGTCAATATCAAAACACAAAGTACATACATCCTTTAAATTTCAATAATTCTACATTTAGGAATTTGAGCCAAAAGTACATTTATAAAATTATGAGATATCTCCAAGGATGTCCATTGTAATATTGCTTAGAATATGAAAAACAAAAGAAAAATACTCTACAAATAGGAAAATAAGTCAATAGATTAAGGGTCATGAATTTAATATTAAAACAATTTGGCTTGCCAGCACCGTGGCTCACTAAGCTAATCTTCCACCTGTGGCACCGGCACACTGGGTTCTAGTCCCAGTTGCGGCGCTGGATTCTGTCCCAGTTGCTCCTCTTCCAGGCCAGCTCTCTGCTGTGGCCCGGGAAGGCAGTGGAGGACGGCCCAAGTGCTTTGGCCCTGCACCCACATGGGAGACCACGAGGAAGCACCTGCCTCCTGGCTTCGGATCAGCGCAGCGCGCCAGCCGTAGCGGCCATTTGGGGGGTGAACCATTGGAAGGAAGACCTTGCTCTCTGTTTCTCTCTCTCACTGTCTAACTCTGCCTGTCAAAAAAAAAAAAAACAAAACAAAACAAAAAAAAAAACAAAACACACAATTTGGCTGTTACAATAACAGACCTAATATATATGCTGATATAGAAAAGTCTCAGATATCGTAAGCAAAAGTCAAAATATAGGACAATGTATTATGATTCTATCTTTGAAAACATTCTAGAGCCAGATCATACCAGAGTGGGAGATTGCATTATTAAATTTCCAAGAGTTATGTGAGCTAGTTTCAAACAGATTGATTTAAAACTTAATTATATAATTAATTACACCATATTATATAAACTATATAATTATATTAAATTATATTTATATAATTATATAAATTATATAAAATTTCATTAACTTATAATTCAGCAACTCACATTAAAAACAAATGTAATAACCCCCAACTCAGTACTTCCTTTTATTACTTTTCACTATTATCTATACTTTTGTGGTTATTTACCTCTATTGTTCTTGCATGGCAAAATTACACTGAACAATGTGTACTACTGATCATGTTTTTTATATCAGCTGAAGGACATAATAACGGTGGCTTAAAATTAACCAGAATGGAAGTTTTTATCCCATGGGAATCAAGAGAACACTAAAAATCAGTACTTGATTTTCTGTTTTGTTGACAGTCTAGACTTATGAAAGTGATGAGAATAATGCAGATAGCTATTCCATTGCAAATAACATGAAAAGTGAGGAAATATTCTCCCAATGTTTGAAAACTGTTATCCAAGTTACTCATATCAACAAATGATGCTCCAAAATATATTCTTTTTATTTTCCTTTTACTTCTAACATTAATAAAAATACATACCAACCTCCATATCAGTACTATATTTGTCAACTGCAACCATAAAATGGCTATGGATACAAAAGTTCTGGAAAAAACCACCAGAAGCATTTTACAAGGGGTCTTCAAGAAGTTCATGGAAATGTCTATTCTGAGAAAATTGCATGGATTTTTTTTAAAGACTTAACTTATTTGCAAGGCAAAGTGACAGGGAGAGACAGAGACAGGGAGAGAAAGATCATCCATACTCTGGTTTACCCACTAAATGGCTACAACAGCCAGACCTGGGCCAGGCCAACAACAGGAGCCTCGAATTCCATCCAGGTCTCCCACATGATTGGCAGGAGCCCAAGCACTTGGCCATCTTCTGTTGCTTTCTCAGCCACATTAGCAGTGAGCTGGATGGGAAGTGGAGCCACTGGGACTTGTACTGGTGCTCCTATGTGGAATGTTGGCATTGCAGGTGAAGTTAACCCACAGTGTCACAATGCCAGCCCCAACTGCATTCAAACTGGATTTAAAACATTTTTTGTTAATTTTTTATTTAAATTTAATTTTTTTCTTTAAATTTTTATATTTTATTTGAAGGGCAATGAGATCACTGGTCCATTGGTTCACTCCCCAAATACCCTCAGACAGCTGGGGGCGGGCCAGGTCAAGACCAGGAACTGGAAACTCAATCCATGTCTCCCATGGTTTGGCAGGGACCCAACTACTTGAGCCATCACTACAGCCTCCCAGGGTATGCAATAGTAGGAAGTTGGAATTGGTAGCAGAACCAGGACTCAAACAAACCCAGGCACTCTGATATGGGATGCAGGTATCCCAAGAGGCATCTTAAATGCTACACCAAATGCCTATACTTTTCAAAAAATTTCTCCATGAATTTTCTAAAGTATCTTTATATAAAAGTCACTTGGCTACATGAAATTTATAATAAAGAGCATTACATTTTTTATTATTTGTAAAGCATGTGTTATATATCCTCTATATCAATAAAATTTATAATTAACTTAAATACGTAGAGATGCACACATTATTTCCACTAATAGCTGACTGCATGTAAGTATAGTAAATGCTTCAGAATAAGCAAAAAAAAAAAAAAGTAATTACCTCTGTGAAAAGGAAATCAAGAGGAGGAGAAATAAGAACTTTTCATTTAGTATCTTTCCATATTTTTGGTAGTCTGAAGGAGTGGGATTATGGGTCATTTTGGTTTTCTTCATATAACAATATATAAATAATTTTATGTCATTAAAACATCTTTTAGTGTTTTATATGTCTTAATAAAATTCCTGAAAGTTTTTTCAGAAGAATGCTACTACTGATCAACTGCATGGGAAGCACCCTTCTTCCCAACAGGAAACGGTCAAAGTAACTGTCCACAGCAGCAGGTGGCAGCTCCAACAGCTGCTTCCTCTGAAAGCCCCACCCACCTTCAAATCTCCGGGTAAGATCTTGTTCAGTCTCATCAAATCCTGCTGCTCGGACATCTTTGAAGAAATTGTTTAAGTAATTCAGGGCATCTTTCATTTGTGCGTGCTCACTGATAATGAGGGCATCGTTGTACTTCTGTATGAAATGAAAACTGAGATTCAGTATGACTCAGGTAGTCCCAGGGTTCAGTTCAATTAGCTGTACTTCACACAGAGTTAATTTTTAGAAAGCTTCTCAAGTCTGTTCCAACTCAGGTTTGTTGTTGTTGAAGATGAATAGCCTCTATTGGTTCCATGATAAAACCTTTGAACCAAATACTGCTTCTAAAAATCTCAGCCAGAAATGTTGATTAATTACAATCACTTTGGATTTTAGAACTCTTTCTAGCAAGAAAGATACATGGAAACTCATGTCAAAGATTTAAAAACAGTAACAAAAACAAATCGATTTCCACATCTTGCCTTATAATTCAGACTCAACTAAATTCTTTATACATAGGATGCAATCACTAAATAGTAAACACTTTTCATAATGATGGCACTCACCATCTACAGCCAAGTTCAACTGAGCTCACTAAAATTCTACAAATGCCTGCTAATTGAATGCATTTTAAAATATTTTCAATGGCGGGCCGGCGCCGTGGCTCAATAGGCTAATCCTCCACCTTGCGGCGCCGGCACACCGGGTTCTAGTCCCGGTCAGGGCGCCAGATTCTGTCCCGGTTGCCCCTCTTCCAGGCCAGCTCTCTGCTATGGCCAGGGAGTGCAGTGGAGGATGGCCCAGGTGCTTGGGCCCTGCACCCCATGGGAGACCAGGAAAAGCACCTGGCTCCTGGCTCCTGCCAGGATCAGCGCGGTGCGCCGGCTGCAGCGGCGGCCATTGGAGGGTGAACCAACGGCAAAGGAAGACCTTTCTCTCTCTGTCTCTCTCTCTCACTGTCCACTCTGCCTGTCAAAAAAAAAAAAAAAAAAAAAAAAAAAAAAAAAAAAAAAAATTTTCAATGGCACAATAAGCAGAGGTTGTTACTGCTGTTTCCTAACTTTGGTTAACCAGAGACTCTGGACTTCTTTACCAAAGGAAAGGAACATACACTTCCAGAAATGGCAGCAGGACTCACTGCCTGAACTTTAAAAATGGCTGTCACTGGTCACACACCAAGAGTTATGTCTGTCAGCATCAAATTTTGCTAACCATGTTACTTATGGGAATATAGGAGGCACGGCATAGAATCTGAGCCCTTCTTCCAGTTCTGTTGTCTTTAGGGTTAACGTCAGTAACAAATTAAGACGATATTAATAGGACAACTCCAGGAGTTTGCGTATAAGAACTTTCTGGAAAGGTTCCTAAGTGAGCTCTTAGAGACAAAATGAGAAGTTGACGTTTTCTCAGCTGCCACAGTGCAGATCCTCTGTTTCTGTGTCTAGCCTTTCAAAATAAAATATTTTGTAAAAAAGTAACATACCCGCAAATGGGAAGTGTACAAATATAGCGCTTTACAGATCCTGCTCTCTTCATCTTTGTCTGGCAGCTGAAACGTCCTGCACGCTTTATGGACTTCGACAATCCACTGTTCGTACTTCTGTGTTCCAAATTCCCTGTTCTGGATTTGAGATAAGTTTTCTGGGGGGGGAAAAAATTTTTTTTCATCATGCTGTATGCTTAATCATTTAAGGTTCTAAACACACCTCATCCTCTTATTTCCTTTCCCAGCCTCTGTGAACAGGGATTTCTTCCTGATATAGTCTGATTTTTCAGCAGTGTATCTGTGTCTAGAAGATTATTTACTAAATGCTTACTATGTGCCAAAAGTCAGGTCCTGCCCTCACATTTTATTTAATGTTCACAACCTCATGAGGTAGGTATTACATTTTACAAAGAAACTGAAGTTCAGAAAAGCTAAATAATTTACCCACGCAGAAGGAAGATAATAATTCAAACCCAGAGTGTCTGATGCCCAGTCTCTATTGGTTCTATGAGCAGACAAAACCAGAGCAATCCAGAGGAAAGATGACAGACATGAATGGAAAAAAAAAACAACAGAAACAAAAAAAAAGAAGAAAATTTTGCTTTTAAAAAATGAAGAAGCGATGAGTACAAAAACAACTTTCAAGAGGGTCATCAAAGCAAGACCTTTAAAACAGGAGGATCAGGATTCAACGAGGCCCATTACTGTGACCTTAGGCCTTCTGATCTCCAGCGAAGCACTCACAGGGCAGGCGCTACAAAGTCACTTGCCACAGACACAACTGTAGGTGAGCATCTCCTAAATATCAACAGGTGGATGAAAAAAATGAAAGAACTGCTGTGGCTTGGGCTCTGTGTCGGGTGCTCGGGCTAAGATAATGAAAATGCAGCTCTGGCCTCAAGTAGCTTAGTCTATGAGTTACGCTGTTCCTTAAGGAGAGCAAAGTACAATAAAATTCACGAGCAAGAGTTGTATTTATGGGTTAATAATAAGAAGAACCAAACAAGGTACCCAAACAAACAGCATTAACCTGATAGCCCTGGCTACAAATGAGGTAGCCAACTGTAAACTAAATGGACCAACAGTATTTATTGAACTTGGGTAGGTATGAAAATAACTTAAGCAATTTGGAAATGAGCAGTTGACAGGATTTGAACTGGCAAAATGGTAGAGGTAGGGTTCACCTGAGGTGAGAATAAGAAAGTAGAAGTGCATGTGACTCTATCGCTACCTCCCCATCAGACCCTGTGATCTTACTCCTAGATGACAGCCTTCTAACTCGTCTCCTCACCTCTCGCCTTCTTCCCTCAATCTATTCCCTGCACACAGCTAGAAGGAGTTTCCAAATCGCAGATGAGAAACTCTGATGCCCCACCACTTAAAACCCTTTAGTAGATTGCTCCAGCCGAAGACTTAGCTGGTGTTGTGGTTTGAATATGGTTTAAGGGTCATGCGTTGGAAGCTTGGTCCCAGTGTGGCAACGTTAAAACATGGTGGGATTAATGTCATTCTCACGGGACCTCAGTTCTTCAGGGAGAATTGTAAACGACCAAACCCCTCCCTGACGTTCATTCTCCGGTCTGGAGATGGCTCCTCCTCCTGCACATGCGCCCTTTGGGTGCCCTCTGCCAGGAGGCCTTCACAGAGCCAGCATCACGCCGCTTGGTCTTTCAGCCTCCAAAACTGTGAGCTCAATAAACGTCTCTTCTTTGTAAGTTACGCAGCCTCAGGTATTTCTTTACAGCAATGAAAAGCAGACTAATCCATCTGGCTCTGTGATCTGCCTCTGCCTTCTAATTGCCATCTCTAGCCTCTCTCCCTCCTGCACTTCACAAGGCTAACAGAAGTTCCTACACTCTTTTTTTTTTTTTTTTTTTTGACAGGCAGAGTGGACAGTGAGAGAGAGAGACAGAGAGAAAGGTCTTCCTTTTGCCGTTGGTTCACCCTCCAATGGCCGCCGCGGTCGGCGCGCTGCGGCCGGCGCACCGCGCTGATCCGATGGCAGGAGCCAGGAGCCAGGTGCTTTTCCTGGTCTCCCATGGGGTGCAGGGCCCAAGCACCTGGGCCATCCTCCACTGCACTCCCTGGCCACAGCAGAGGGCTGGCCTGGAAGAGGGGCAACCGGGACAGAATCCGGCGCCCCGACCGGGACTAGAACCCGGTGTGCCGGCGCCGCAAGGCGGAGGATTAGCCTAGTGAGCCGCGGCGCCGGCCTAGTTCCTACACTCTTGCTGTTCTCCTGGCCTTTGCGTATGCAGTGAAACACATCTTAACATCACTACCTGTCTCCCTCCAGCTGCTTTATAATTGTTGTTGTTATTATCATCATCTAATCTGGGCTTCACCATTAGACTGGAAATCCCACAAGGACAGGAGTTGTGCCTCAAATCCATGCCGTATTCCCATCACCTAGCATATTGCCTAGCACTGAATGAATGAACGGATATGCTCAAGGAATTGCTGTATCAAGTACTCCATGTAGAGAAGAAGAATTGGAAAGATAAGCAGAACCTGATTGTTCAGGCAGAATTCACACTGTCAAGTTAGAGGACTTAAAGATTATCCTGCAAGCAAAGAATTTTAAGCAGGGTATTTAGATAATAAAACTGGTATTTCAAGAAGACTAACCAGTTAATGGGGAAGACGAATGGAAGAGATGGAAAACCAGGCTATTGAAATAGGTCCTAACTTAAGCTTGGAAAGAAAAAAGAAAAAGCAAAGTAAGTATGAGGGAAGGAGAGACACTACAAATTCAACATCTTCAAAATTCTAAACTCCGCTTGTACTTGCCAAAGCTTCTCCCTGCTGTGGCAGTACAACCTACCAGCATGCACACAGGTGCCCAAACTCGAAGTGCAGGTGGAGGTTACCTCCCCCCTTCCCTCCCTCACTGCCCCTCAAATCCAGTTACCCATTCAATCTCAGCACTTGCAATGAAAGCACCTTGCACGTGCCTCCTACCCTTCTCCAACCCATCTGAACTGCCCATCCTCCCTTTCATGAGCTGCTTCCATTATCACATCACCAAACAGTTTAAAATCTTCAGCTGCTTTCCATTACTCTTAGTGCAAAATTCAAACCCAGGGTGGCACACCAGGGCCTTCCTATGTCCCCCCCACTTCTCTTCTGGTTTCATTCCTTTTCACTCTACACACAGTAGGATTCCCAAACAATGCTTGCCACTTCTGCAACTCCCAGCTTCACTCTCCTTTTTGCTTTCTCTCCTTTCAATCTCACTTGACCTTTCAAGGTTTGTTTCACAAGCATCAGCTCCCCCAGAAAGTTTTTTGTACAACTCAATCTAGGACAAAGTCCCTACACACTACCATAGTAGGCAGCGTGTGGGTGCCCTGCCAAATGGAAACTTTTTGCATCAGATTCCCGTTATGTCATTATGAGTTTCTTATGGGTAGGGACTAAGACTTTAACCTTCATATTTCCATTACCTAGCATGATAAATATTTAGTCAATGAAGAAATAAAAAGGGGAAGGAGAGAACTTGGTGACTGTACAAGGACATTTCAAAAGAATAAAGAATCAAAGATTGATTACCTCCCAGGTTGGAATCTGAACCAGTAGAGGAATGGTGGTTTCATTCATATAAATATAGATGTCAGCTAATTTGGAAAGCTAATTTGGAAGTTCTAGAAAATGATGACCTCATCTAAATACACACATCTAGATAAATTTACTTTGGATTTTAAGAGAAAAAAAAATAAGTGAGAATAAAGAAGGGCTTACAAGAACCCTGAATAACCTATAATCAGGAAAGTCAATCACTGATTATTGTTTTGACATTGCCTGAACCAAGAAGAATACAAAATTACATTAATGAACAATATATGGCTTTTCCAAGTGTTGAGGACACAGAATATGGGATTTATGTAACTGAGAATTGGAGTGGAACTCACCCAGTTCTTCAAAGACATCCTTTGCCAGACTTTCTGTCTCTCTCATCAGCTGAGATATGATGCGTTTAAATCCATTGGTAGTCCGTGATTCTACTCTCCTGGAAACTAGAGCCAAAGGAAAGTAAGTATATTTCGGGAAGGATGGGTTGTAGTTCAGAGTAGATCTCCCCAAACCTTTCTCTTCCACTGTTACTTCCTCCAAGACCCTGAGGCTCCCAGCTTACATTCAAGTGGTCTATATGGCAAACCAAATGCTAAAAACCTCAAAATCAATCCCCACTGCTTACTGCACCGATTCTGACATCTTTTTCACAGTCTAGGGTGTCTGTTTCTTTAAGATTTATTTATTTGAAAGGCACAGTTACAGAGAGAGGAGGGAGAGGGGGAGGGGGAGGGGGAGGGGGAGAAACACACATCGATCTTCTATCTGCTTGTTCACTCCCCAGATGGTCAGTCCGAAGTCAGGGGCTTCTTCCGGATCTCCCACATGGGTAAGAGGGTCCAAGTACTTCCTGGGTCATCTTCCACTGCTTTCCCAGGGGCATCAGCAGGGAGCTGGATGGGAAGTGGGGCAGCGGGGACCCAAAGCGGCTAATCTTACTTCTCACTCTGGCTTTCCTGAGATCTTGTCTGTGCTTTAGTATTCCCCCTCCCCAAACAACCCTCAAGAGTGTTCACGATGATACCATCATCCATTTCTGTATACTTTCAGCAGAAACTTATTAACTGCCTATCACGTACCCTGTCACAGTGCCCGTTAAAAAGAGCACATTGTGTATTCTATAAAGGTCTGTTTTTAATGAAGAGAGAGATACATAACCACACCAGACTCAAGGTGTTATGGAACACTAGAAAAGAATGTCCAATTCTCTGGGGGAGACAGTGTTGCAGAGCATGGAAAGAGGAAAGGAGGCAGCCATATCTGTCATTTTTAGCGAGAGAAAGCACATGGTACGTCAGAGGAGTCCAGGGGAACTCAGTGCATTTGAACTTCCGGAATCGGGAAGGACCCGAAGCCCAGAGGGACAGATTACAGGGTAATTCATACGTGATACTAAAACACGTTTGGGCACTTTCTTGAAACTCCTTATAGGCAGTCGCCCAATACAACATAGCATGCTCCTGCCTCTTCCACGTACATTTGTTCTGCCTTAGGTTCATATAAGCCACTTGTTACTCAGAGAGAAGGATGAGTCACACCTGCCTTCTGGACTCCCTTCTGCGCACAGGGTTGGGATAACAATGATGTCAGTAATATTCACTAGTCAATCTTTTTTTTTTTTTTTTTTTAGACAGTTATACAGTGGGAGAGAGACAGAAAGGTCTTCCTTTTTCCATTGGTTCACCCCTGAAATGGCTGCTACAGCTGGTGCGTTGCGGCTGGCATGCTGCGTCGATCGGAAACCAGGAGCCAGTTGCTTCTCCTGGTCTCCCGTGGGGTGCAGGGCCCAAGCACTTGGGCCATCCTCCACTGCACTCCCTGGCCACAGCAGAGAGCTGGGCTGGAAGAGGAGCAACCGGGACAGAATCTGGTGCCCCAACCAGGACTAGAACCCGGGGTGCCAGTGCCATAGGTGGAGGATTAGCCTAGTGAGCCACGGCACCGGCTAGTCAATCTTACTTTCAAACACCATATCCTGATCTTCTGGGACAAGACAGGATGAATTCAGAGACTGCTATTTCAATACAACAATGGTGACTACACAGCATCTGCCTCAGATGTGGAGCACAGGGAAGGACTGGGCCAGTCCTTGATCATCTGTGTGCTTAACTTTCCTCAGTACTTCTGTTACACTGATAGGACCTTATAAGCCCTTTATAGAACTTAAGCATAGGAACACTGGCTCCTTACAGGCCACTTCTGACACTGACCCGTTGCCTGAGAAGAGAGTTCAGTTAAGGAGAGATACTGAACATGGCACAATTTCCCAACTTTGGGTCAAATGTTTTCTGTTAAACAGAGAGAAAGTCAAAGTTCAGTCTTCCCCTAACTGGCTCAGGATCAGGGGTAGCAGAGAATGAAGGCCTTGTTACTGGATCTCACTTACTTTTCTGGGGCGTATAAACAATTTCTTGCAGTTCTTCCAGATTCTCTTTGACCGTTGCTATTACTGATGCATCAAGAGAAGCACAGAGTTTGCAGATATATTCCACGGCTTCATCTGTGTTTTTGGCATCCCCAACACCAACAGAGGCAGTCATCCCAACGACCTATAAGAAACATTCCAAGGTATTCAATGTCTGAGAAATAGTGCTGTGTCCACAGCCTCTTGAGAAATTCTGTCCTGCTGGGATTAGGGTTTCTGTTTTGCTTTCTTTTTCACTAACTTCAGATAGAAGCATACTGTTGTTTTTCCCTGACTTTCTCAGTGATATTGCAAATGGAAAATCAAAGTACTAAGTACAAGAGTCACAATTCATCAGCTAAACACAAATTAGCAGAGAAGCGGAGAGAGAAAGCCCATCCAGAACAGGGCTGCTTAGTTCTCAACTCTTGCATCCTTCACAACATGGAGAACACCGCGCTGAAAAAGAAAGAAGAGCAGACACATTTCCCGTGTGTCTCAGCCGTGTCACAACCTCAGCCATATTATGCTGACTGTGTGTCGGACAAATATCTTCATCTCTCCATAAAGCTGGGAAACAATCACTGTTTAAAATGGCAGGTGCCTGGACTTGGGATGATAGCATTTGTAAAGATTTAGCATAATGGCCACCTAATAAATATTCATTTCTTTCACCAATAACTACTCAGTAATTGTTGAATAATTGACCCACCAGCAAGTAATCTAGTTTACACCAATTTTATTCCAGAAGAAAAGACTAATACACATGATTGCCTTTTTTTTTTTTTTTTGGATCTGCAGGTATCTTACAGAATTTCTTCTAACCTATGCTTCCTAAATTGATGCTTATTGGAGCTGCAGAACTGTACACAAATGTGTAGATTGATATGCCATAAATTCATGATTTCCAACTTCACCTGGGCCCTCAATATGACCAACAAATCTTCAATGTATTCGTCTCGGTTCTTCCTCTCCACCCTTCCCAAGCTTCCCACCCCTTTCCAATATTGAGAATTTTCAGCAATTCATCTACATCTCCCATGTTCAAGAAAAGGGAGGATTTACACACCAGATTCCCCATCCCTTCCTGCGCCCATCAAAGAGCACCTATCTTAATTGACTCTTCTTGCCTCTTCTTCCCTGAGGATGCTAAAGATGGTGCTCCTCCCCAAGTCTAATTACACTCATCTACTTGCCTGCATCTCCCATACCATCTGGTGTCTCCAGGCATGTTGCTCTATCAGTCATTCCCTTCTCCCATTCAGCCTTGCTACTCCCTACCTCACAATCTACCCTCTAGTAATCGTGAAGAGTTTCAAGACTGCAGAGCACACCACACTCTTTGGTACTTCTGTGCCTCTAGACAAACAGCAGCCTCTTACTGCAAACCATCCAGCTATCCACCTGGAAAACTCCTGTTAACTTTGGCCCAAGCTAACTTCTGTTAGATGTTGCCTTACTTTCATTGCACACATAGGAGTGCTTTCACTTAGGTTCTGACCGTGCTCTTGTCCTGCCTCTACAGCAGGCCTATGATATAATTCATCCTTGCCCAGCTCCCTATGAAATTCACGCTGTCTGAGGGCAAAGCTATGTCTTTTTATACTAGTATCCCCAGTGCCTGGCACAGTGCAAGGCACATGGAGGTATACAATATACATGATCAGTCCTCTGTACCCACAGGTTCTGTATCTATGGATTCAACCAACCACAACTTGAAAATGTTAAAAACAAAGCTGTACATGTACTGAACATGTACAAACCTTCCCCTTGTCATTACTCCCTAAACAATACAGTACAGCAACTACTAGTATAACCTTTGCATTCTGGGACCAGCACTGTGGATCACTTGGCTAATCCTTCACCTGCAGTGCAGGAATCACATATGGGCCCTGGGTTTCTAGTCCCGGTTGCTCCTCTTCCAGTCTAGTTCTCTGCTGTGGCCCGGGAGGGCAGTGGAGGATGACCCAAGTGCTTGGGCCCTGTACCCGCATGGGAGACCAGGAAGAAGCACCTGGCTCCTGGCTTCAGATCGGCGCAGCGCGCCAGCTATAGCGGCCATTTTGGGGAGGTGAACCAATGGAAGGAAAACCTTTCTCTCTGTCTCTCCCTCTCACTGTAACTCTACTTGTGGAATAAATAAAATAAAAAAAAATCTTTAAAAAAATAATATTTGCATTGTGTAATCAGTAGTCCAGAAATTATTTAAAGTAAATGGGAGGATGTACATGGATTATATGCCTGCCACACTGTACCTGGGAAGTGACAGAAACCCCTATTAACCAAGCACAATGTGGATGAGTATTACCATTTTGTAAAGGTGTCTTGAGCATGTATAGATTTTATACCTGTGTAGAGGGTCCTGGAACCATCTTCCTTGGATAGTGAGGTCCCACTATATATATATATATATATATATTTTAAAGATTTATTTATTTTAAAGGTAGAGCTAGAGAGGGGCAGAGAGAGAGAGATAGAGAGAGAGAGGAGGAGGAGGGAGAGAGGAGGAGGGAGAGAGGAGGGAGAGAGAAGGAGGGAGAGAGAAGGAGGGAGAGAGAAGGAGGGAGAGAGGGAGGGAGAGAGGAGGGAGAAGGAGGGAGAGAGGGAGGGAGAGAGGGAGGGAGAGAGGGAGGGAGGAGGGAGGGAGGAAAGAGAGGGGTGGAGGAGACGGGGAGAGAGAGAGGTCTTCCATTCACTGGATCACTCCCCAAATGGCTGCAACATCAGAGCTGGGCCAATCCAAAGCCAGGAGCTTCTTCTAGGTCTCCCACATGAGTACAGGGGACCAAGCTCTTGGGCCATGTTCTACTTCTTTCCCAGGCCATAAGCAGAGAGCTGGATCAGAAGTGGAGCAGCCGGGTCTCGAACCAGCACCCATATGGGATGCCTGCACTGCAGGTGGCGACTTTACCCACTACACCACAGTGCCGGCCCCCCAACTAATATCTTAACTGAATAAATGAATGGACCAAAATTGATCAATGAGTTGTATAATGACTTAGGACCTGAGAAGGACATCCTCACTGTGGTGACAGGTGTAAGTAAATGGAATTCAGGGAGATTATACCTCTCCCAAGGAGTTCTCCTGACTGTGGACATACCTGAGGCAGTGGGTCAGAAGAATCCTCCAAGTTTCTGATCCAGATAATAGAACATGATCTTATTGTATGGGTGTTGTTTACAAGTATTGTGACATTCATCAAATATCATCAAAGTGAAGACAGAGAGTGATGGATAGTTCCGTCTTTAAGATTGTTCACAAGGATCTGTGGTGTTTAAAACAATGATGTCATTGTTCTCCACAATTTGTTGCACGGGGACTTCTCAACTGTTGCTCCAGCAATGCCTGCCACACTGTACCTGGGAAGTGACAGAAACCCCTATTAACCAAGCACAATGTGGATGAGAAGCCACAACTGACGATCTTAAATCAAAGGAATATATTTAGAGACAAGTCCTTAGCACATAGCCTGACACGGTAAATAATCAATAAATGCAAGGTAGTTAACATAGTATATATTCATTCTTTCAAGTAACTAAAAGCAGAGAGAGTAGATCAAAGACTATTACCAAATAAATTATAAAATCATTAAAGAAGATAAATGTGATATTTAAATGTCAAATTTAGGATAGGTACTCAGTCTAGCAGTTAAGGTACCCTCATCCCTATTAAAGCGAGTTCATTATCTGTTAAATCGTTTACTCAAACCATAAAAACTAGGAGGCTTTAGAATTTCTAGTATGTATAACAAGAAAAGACTCAATTACATGCAGGAATTAACATCTAGTTTATATAAAAGCTGAATATTATAAAACAATGTAAGCATGGCTTTTAAAAAACAAAACAGAAAACAATTCATTGCATGAAGCTAGAGAAACATGACATTGGACTGATTGTTGTACCTACCCAAGTCTTTCAAAATACTCTGAGAACACAGATTTCTGCTGTTCATACACAGGGACGTGATTAGCAAAAAACACCACCTTCCCTTTTTGTCCTTGTGGAAATGTTTTAAGATGATGTTCACATATAAGAAGTGAAACAAAGGTTTTTCCACAACCTTTTAACATACAAGGAAAAGGAAAACATGTAACTAATATTATACTAGAGAATTCTGCATTTTTGGCTCCTCTAACATCATTGAACTGACTAGAAATTATGACCAGAAAAAGAAACATTAAGCTACTTCGCAGGTAACATGCACTCAAAACAGTCAGGACCAAAACTAAAAGAGGGCATTTCTTCCCTTTTGTTGAGACTGTCTAAATAGGATAGTTTTGTCAAAGACAAATGGAACAGGAACAATCTGAAAATTGCCCATTATGTCACAGTATTCAACAAAAAAAAAAAAAGAAAAGAAAAAAGCAACAGAGAAACAAACTATGTAAGTAATAGCAATTGGCTTACCAGTAGGAGCACATATTATTGTGTTTTTTCCCTTCATAGCAGGCAGAGCAAGCTCTAGCTGGTAATTTCTTGGTTTCAGTTGGCTGCATAATTTAGCGCGAGATACTTCTATAATACAAAAGGAACAAAATTTCCAGTTACCTCTCTGAGGAATCACAGCAATAGCTAAAATCCAGTAGACATGATTCTGACTGTAGCAAGAAGGGTTCATTAGAGAAAGTTTAGAATCTTGTCTCTTTGTAACCAATTCAGCTTCTCTAACCAAGGACTTAATCTCAAAAACATGTTAGTATATAACATATTAAGAACTAGAAAAAAATACTGGAAATACCTAGCAAGTCCACCCATTTTTAAGAAAGGGAAAACTTCTTAAAAGGTAAAGTGAGGTAACCTCACTTACAAGACATATAAGGATCTTTACATGTCAGGGATATTTAAAGCAACTTATAGTCATTGATTTATTCTGCAATGATTCCTCCTCCCCAAAACTTGCATTACTCACTTGCAGAAGTAATCTGTCAATTTTCTTTAAGAGTTATCCTAAAATCACATTTTCCCCAAAGAGTATTCTTCATTCAGCATAATTTCCTACTTGATATCCTTTTATAAATAAATTTTATATGGTATGTTATGCAAATCCCTAGTTCCCTAATGAAACAGTCATGAAAATATGCTTCCAGACACATCGGGGGCCTTAGCGGACCACAATGACGTCACACAAGAGCCTCAGTGTGAATGGGAAATGGAGTTCTTTGGAGAACATAACCCTTTGGCAAACAACACGGGCTGCATCTCAGCCCTCACTCAACCTCTAAGCCAAGCCATGTGTGCAACACACCAACCTCACACACTTGAATGGCAGCCCTGGGATATTAATAAAGGAAATTAAGTGAGTGGCTCACAATCAGTAGAGGTATTTCTTTAGAGAGGAAAGCTGATTTAAATTTCATAGACATTGGCCAGCGCTGCAGTTCAATAGGCTAATCCTCCGCCTGCGGCGCTGGCACCGCAGGTTCTAGTCCCCGGTCGTGGCGCCAGATTCTGTCCCGGTTGCCCCCTCTTCCAGGCCAGCTCTCTGCTGTGGCTAGGAGTGCAGTGGAGGACGGCCCCAAGCCTTGGGCCCTGCACCCGCATGGGAGACCAGGAGAAGCACCTGGCTCCTGATCAGCGCGATTGCGCCGGCCATGGCGGCCATTGGCAGGGTGAACCAATGGCAAAAGGAAGACCTTTCTCTCTGTCTCTCTCACTGTCCACTCTGCCTATCAAAAAAAATAAATAAATAAAAAGATAATAAATTTCATAGACACTCATTTTCTGGAGGGACACTGCATTTCTAATACAGACACACACATACTTTTAGTGATAAAAGATTTCTAAAGTCCACTTAGCAGCTATGGAAAGAGTGGCAATTCTAATTATAGAAAAATATCTCTTTTGACATAATTCTCTTGTCTTCCTTAGTTTTCTTTACAAACTTTTTTCATAAGGCTATGACTTTGGCACTGCCAGCAAGTCCCCACACAAAATGCCTGTAGAGCACCATCACGAAAAGCACAAATAATAGCAGTACCTGCAGGTGTACTGAATTCTGACTGAGATTCTCCAACTGTGGATCTTCCTGGTAGACAATATGTATGCTGGAAGTTCCCATGTCGTCCTCCTCAAGATCTTCAGCTTCAACATCTTTGGCATCTTTGGGAGATCAAAAAACATTCCAGAACCTTAACATAATCTGAATATAGTTCTGATGGTGAAACTGTCACAAAAGTTGTTATAGCACTAATGCTAAACTTTCACTAATATTTCTAACAAACACTCCCCTTCTTAAAAGAATCATTTTATCTCAGTTTGGAGTCTGAACTTCAAAGTCATTTAGGACTTTATTATTTAAGGTATGGAGTCGGGATCAGCAACTTTGGGAATTTGTTAGAAATGGAACCTTGAGATCCCGTGGAATCAGAATATGAATTTTAACAATGCTCAAAAGAGTCCTACACACACTATGTCTACATGAGAAAAGCAGCGTGATTTAGCAGACACCTGACCCTGGACCCAAGAATCAGACATGTATTTTAGGACACTTTTGGAAACAACCTATAATCTAAAGAAGCCTAAGCAACGCTAAGATGAACATGTGGATGATGCCAAAGCCATCCTTTAAAACAAAGCTTGAACATGTTGGCTTCAAAAAGTCAAATGACAGCCCAAATCATCACAAATTTTCTCCTTTTATTCCCGCTCTGGTTCAGTTTTAGGTGGTGCCCAACAAGAGAACGGGGCAATGACTCTACTTTGGAAAGGGGGTAAGCCTTAGAGAACTGGAACCTGTAATTCTAGAATTCTCAAGCTATATCTCAGATCATCTAAACCAGGATGAGAGCTCAGACTTGGCCTTCCCCAAATTTTTTTGGGCAAGATGGGTTAATGTAGGATGAGGGCATTTTTTCCTGATACAGTTTTAGAGGTTATATACAACCAAACGAATTCTGCATGCAAGTAGCTACCTTCCTCCTAGAACTCGACTTTATGCTGGTCTCTCAGTAGCGACACAGCCCTGGGTATCTGAAGGGGAGTCTGCCTTTGCTGGCAAGTGAACACAGGCAGGAACAAGGGAAGCGCTAAGTACAACCAGGAGGAGCACACTGCTCTCCATTGGAGAGCTCTTCCTTGGAATAACCTACCTTTCTCTACCATCCAAAGTTCACTGAATGAGTTGTTATCATTATCCAAAGCAAGTTTTAAAGTTTTGGGCCAGTTTTCCTTGTCTGATCTGAGAAGGCATTCAGCCATTTTCTCTGCACCTGCCATTATCCCCTTATTGGAGCAAACCTAAACAAAGGAAAAGCAGTGTATTTGTCAATTATTTCAAAAGTTTTCCTTGTATGAGTTTTCAATGAGAAAATGTCAATTTCAAGTGCTATATGATTTTAAATCACCATACATTATAGTTCATAACCATTTTTCTCCCATCCAACAGTCTTTTTTTTTTTTTTTTTTTTTTTTTTGACAGGCAGAGTGGACAGTGAGAGAGAGAGACAGAGAGAAAGGTCTTCCTTTGCCGTTGGTTCACCCTCCAATGGCCGCCGCGGCCAGCGCACCACGCTGATCCGATGGCAAGAGCCAGGAACCAGGTGCTTTTCCTGGTCTCCCATGGGGTGCAGGGCCCAAGCACCTGGGCCATCCTCCACTGCACTCCCTGGCCACAGCAGAGGGCTGGCCTGGAAGAGGGGCAACCGGGACAGAATCCAGCGCCCCGACCGGGACTAGAACCCGGTGTGCCGGCGCCGCTAGGCGGAGGATTAACCTAGTGAGCCGCGGCGCCAGCCCATCCAACAGTCTTTTAAAACTCTTTCCTTCATCCTTATCCTTTTAAAAATTATTTATTTATTTCAAAGGCAAAGATACAGAAAAAGAGAAGAGGAGAGAGAGAGATCTCCCATCTACTGGTTCACTCTCCAAATAGCAACAATAGTCAGGGCTGGGCCAGGAGTCAGTAACATCTTCCAGGTCTCCCATATGGGTGGCAGGAGCCCAAAAACTTGGGCCAGCCTCTGCTGCTTTCCCAGGTGCACATGGAGGGAGCTGGATTAGAAGTGGAGCAGCTGGGACTCAAACCAGTGCCCATATGGTGACAATTGAACTTTCCATGACACAGTGCAGGCCCTATCCTTGTCCTTTACACATCGGTGTCACTATGTCAAGAGAAGCTTTCGCATCTCCCCTGAGTTCTTATACCTATCATTATAAGTAAGACTAGGAAAATATTCCATTTGCAAGTCATTCACACTTTCAGGATATTGGCATAGAGTGAAACATGGAACAACGTAACATAATATTAATGTGTGACTTTTCAGGGTAGAGGGATTTACGTGGCTTCACTATTCATAAGAAGTAAAATGTATTGTGGACTTATTATCATATGCCAAGCATGTATAAGCACTTTACATATATTATCTTATTTAACCCTTATAAAATGTTATATTAAGGTACTGTTATTATTCTCATTTTATGCATGACAAAACAGATGCTTAGAGAAGCTAAGTAACTTATTCAGTATCACACACTAGGAAATGGTTGAGCCAAGATTCTAACAAAATTTATCTATGTTGGAGTACTATACAGCAGTAAAAAAAGAAATCCTGTTATTCGCAACAAAATGGATGGAACTAGAAAACATTATGATGAGCCAGTCCCCAAAAGACAAATACCATATGTTCTCCTTGATCCATGGTAACTAATAGAGTACCTAAAAAGTAATCTACAGAAGTGAAATTGAGACCTTGAGATGCAATGACTGAACAGCCTTTGTCCCAGCTGTTGAGGAACAGTTTTTTTTTTCCCCATACTGTTTGCTGAATTCTTTACTTAGTGTACAGTTAATCTTATGTGTATAAAGTTAATTGAAAACAGATCTTGGGGCCAGCAACGTGGCTCACTTGGTTAATCCTCTGCCTGTGGCACTGGCATCCCATATGGACACCAGGTGCTAGTCCCGGCTGCTCCTCTTCCAGTCCAGCTCTCTGCTGTGACCCAGGAGGGCAGTGGAGGATGGCCCAAGTGCTTGAGCCCTGCACCCACATGGGAGACCAGGAAGAAGCACTTGGCTCCTGGCTTCGGAACGGCGGAGCGCCGCCATAGCAGCCATTTGGGGGATGAACCAACGGAAGAAAGACCTTCCTCTCTCTCTCTCTCTCTCTCTCTCTCTCTAACTCTACCTGTCAAATAAAAACAAGAAAAACAGATCTTAGTAAAAAATAAGAAAGGGAATAGGAGAGGGAGGAGGAAGAAAGCTTGTGAATGCAGGTGGGAGGGAGGATAGGGTAGGAAGAATCACTTTGTTTCCAAATTTGTATATATAAAATGCATCAAGTTTCTAAAGCTTAAATAAAAGGTTTCTAGGTACAAAAAAATTTAATGTGTCTATAGCACAAATTCTTAACTACTAGTCTACAATCTTTTTTAAAAAAATCATTTTTTTATTTATTTAAGAGGCAGAGCCACAGAGGGAGAGACAGAGAGAAACGCCTTCCAAATGTTGGCTCACTTCCCAAATAGCCACAACAGCCAGAGCTGTGCTGATCCAAAGCCAGGAGCTTCTTCTGGGTCTCCCACGCAGGTGTAGAAGCCCAAGCACTTGGGCCACCTTCTACTGCTTTCCCAGGCTACAGCAGAGAGTTGGATCAGAAGAGGAGCAGCTGAAACTCAAACCGGCACCCATGGGATGCTGGTGCCACAGGCAGCGGCTTTACCCACTATGCCACAGTGCTGGCCCCAGCTTTTCTCTTATTATTTTTCTTTGCTGAACTGGTCGACTGTATTTAAATTTGCATGAATTATTCAGAAAAAGTAATTTTTAAGTGAAAATAGAGCAAACTTGAAAAAATTGTTACATAAAATCAGTTCACATTACAGGTACCTTCCTAGGTAAACTATGCCTCTTATAGAAGACTTATGTGTGTTTCAATTATCGTTTTCAGTTCTAAAACAGTAGAGACAACACAAGACATCCCCATGTTCCAACTACTTTCCCTAAAGTTAGTATTTTTATTTGACTTACCTGCATAATTTCTTCATATTCCTGACCTAATTATACAGTCAGACATTTCAGGAAGGATACATGTTGGATCAATTCTGTCTTTAAATGCTGGTTGTAAACGTTTTAAAAGTGCTCTGTATTCCTCCAACTTTTCAATTTTTTGGAAATTCCAATTTGCAATGGCTTCATAAAGCCCAGAATAACCTGAAAAGGAGGAATAGCAAGTTTTATGGGCTAAATTTAATAAACACAATGAAATTATCAGAGCAATCATATTTGAATATATAGTGATAAAACTCAAAGAAAGGAAAGAATCAAACACTCTACTAGAGAAAATTAGGTCAACACAGAGGAATATTAAAAGAGAAGGAGAAAAAAAGTCACTACAATAAAACTAAAAAAGTATCAAAATGGCAGTAGTAAGACCTTACCTATCAATAATTATCTTAAATATAGATGAATTTAAAACTCAATTAAAAAAGTGACCAAATGAATAAAACAAGATCCAACTATGTACTGCTTAAAGAAAACTCAATTCATCTAAAAGGACACTCATAGAATGAAAATTAAAGATTAAGATATTCCATGCAAATGGAACGCAAAAAAAGTAGCCATATTTATATCAGATAAAACAGAACTTAAATCAAAAGTAACAAAAGGAGACAAGAAGGCCATTATACAATAAGGGGTCCAATCCATCCAGGATAAAAATCTGATATATTTGCATCCCAATACAGATCTAATGGCAGAGATATTTCTAATATAATAACAGTAGGGAACTTCAATTTATTGAAGTATACAGATCACACAAACAAAAAAATCAAAGAAACAGCAACTAATTTTACTACAGACCAATCTGAACAAATGGACATTTATAGAATATTCCATCCAATACCTGCAAAATACACTTTTCTTAACAGCACATACACAGTCTCCAGGGCAGATCATATACTAGGTCACAAAGCCAGTCTCAACACATTAGACAGAAATCCTATTGAGTATCTCTCCTGACCACAATGCAACAAAACTGGAAATCAGTAACAAATAAAATGTTGGAAAATACGTAAATATGTGGAAATTAAACATCTTACTGAATAACCAATAAATCAAAGAAAAAAATCGAAAAAGAAATTTAAAACTTTCATGGCATGAATGAAAACGGGAACAGAAACATACCAAAAATTATGAGGTATGGCAAAAGCAGTACACAGAGGAAAGTTTATGGTAACCAATGCCCACTTAAAAAAAATAAAAGCAGAATGATTTCAAACTTATTGCTGTACCTTAAGGAATTAGAAAAATAAAAATAAATTAAAAAAAACAAATTATAAGAACTAATAAAAATCAGAACAGAAGTAAATGAAATAGAGTTCCAAAAATAATGAAATGAAGAGCTGGGTCTTTAAAAAGATAAATAAAATGGACAAACCTTAGCTAAGGCTAAGTAAAGGAGAAGAAAAGACTCAAAATCAGATGAAAAGGGAGATGTTACAATTGACACCACAGGAATACAAAGGATTGTTAGAAATTATTACAATTATACAGCAATACATTTGATAAACTGGAAGAAATGGACAAATACCTGGACACGTACACCTTTTCCAGATGGAACCACAAAGAAATAAACACCAAATAAGACCAATGATGAGTAAGGAGATTGAAACAGTAACAAATGATCTCCTACCAAGAAAATAAATAAAAAGCCCAGGTCCAGGTGACTTCACTGCTGGACTCTACCAAATATCTTAAAAAGGACTAATATCAATTTTTCTTAAATTACTCCAAAATGTAGAAGAGAGAGGAATTCTTCCAAACTAATTTGATAAGGTCAGTATTAGTTGATACCAAAACTAGACAAAAGTGAAGGAACAAAGGAATGAAGGAAGGAAAGAAGCTACTGGCCAATATCCTTGATGAACATACATGCAAAAATTCAACAAAATCTAGTAAACTGAATCCAACAGCATATTTAAAAGATTATTAATCAGGAGCAAATGGGATTCAACCCAGGTATGCAAAGATGGTTCAACACATACAAAATCAACAGGACACACTACACATCAACAGAACGAGGAACCAAACTCATGATCATCTCAATAGATGGAGAAAAGTATTTGACAAAATCTAACACCCCTTCACGACAAAGACTCTAAACAAACTAAGTATGGAGGGAACACACCTCAACACAATAAAAGCCACATATAACAAGTCAACATCTAGCCTCGTGTTGAATGCGTAAAACCTAGAAGACCCTTTAAGATCTGGAACAAGAACACTATTTTCATTCAACACAGCACTGGAAGTCCTGTCCAGAACAATTAGGAAGGAAAAAGAAATAAAGGGCATACAAAGTGAAAAGGAAGAAGTCATTGTCACTCTTGGGATTTTTCTGTAAGGACATGTTATCTCAAAGACCACCAAAAAATTAGACCTAAGAGATAAATTCAAAGTTGTATGATATAAACATACAAATCAATAGTGTTAACACCAATAGTGAATAGTCTGACAAAGAAATAAAGCAAGCAATCTCATATCCAATAACTATCAAAAAATTTTTTTAAATCTTACGAATAAACTTAAGAAGATAGAAAACTAAAACATTGACGAAAGAAATTTAAGATGACACAAAGAAACAGAAATACATCCCATGTTTATCAACTGGAAGAATCAATATCATCAAAATATTCATAATATACAAAATGATTTATAGATTCAATGAGACGCT